CCCCCGCCGCCCTAGCGCCGCTGTTGCCACCTCCCTGGGCTTCACACTCGGCGCTCTTCTTGTGTGCTCCCGTCAGGTGCTGCTGAGGAAGCGGAGCCGGAACCGGAGCCCGAGCTGGCGGCTCCGGGAGAAGATGCAGAGCCGCAGGCTGGGCCGTCCGCTCGCGGTTCTCCGAGCCCGGCTGCCCAGGCCGGCCTGCTGCCTCGCATGGACCTGCCACCTGCCGGGCAGCCCCTGCGCCATCCGACCCGGGCCCGGCCCCGGCCGCGCCGCCAGCACCACCACCGCCCGCCACCGGGGGGCCCCCAGGTGAGTGCCCTCCCCCCACTCTAGAGCTCGTGGACTTGGGGGTCGTGAGTGGTTCCTTTGCTCCTCAAGAACGATGACGAGCAGGGAGGTGAATGGTGGGGGCCCAAGGCCACCTGGTCGGGGCCCAAGGCCACCTGGTCGGGGCCCAAGGCCACCTGGTCGGGCAGAGGGAGCCTCGTCCTGAATTCTTTCTGAATTCTTTCTGGCTTTCTCCACCCCAGACCATCTCCGTGTGGGGCCGTGGGTGTGCGGGTTTCATTCCGGGTGCCTGGCTGTTAGACTCCGCCTCGGGCTGGCACCAGTGGATGTGTGAAAGAGGATGTCCATCTTGCCCTCCCTCCTCAAGGGTTACTGAAAGATGTTGTGCCCCTGGGGGCAGCCAGGCTGCAGGGACAATCCCGAGTCTGCCGCACGTTCAGCGGTGTACGTGTAGGGAGATGTCTATGTATGTGGGGCCTGGGTCCCCGCGGGGGCAGTGGGCGTTGCGCGGAGAGGGGAGGAGCTGGCTTGAGGCCCCCCAGAGGGTCTGACGCAGCAGCTGGCGCCGCTAAGGCGGCAGCAGGCCGGTGGGGGTGGGGGGTACTGCAGGGAACTGTTTGGAGCAGAGGGGGTGGCAAGTGGGGCCGTGTGACCTGGAGGGACGCGTGGGTGCCAGCCTGCTGGTGACTGGGTGGGACAAGAACGAGTGTGGGCTGGGTGTGTGCCCAGGCCAGAAATGGGTGAGGGGTCTGTGAAATCCAGCATGTGTCCACCAGTGGGAAAGCAGTCAGCCTCCCCCAAGGGTCACCCCTGTTCTGGGTCCTGGATATGCCAAGAACACAGTGATGGACAGAACTGGTGAAGAGCCACAGTTGCAACTTGGCTTGATCTCTGACCTCACCGTGTTGCCCAGGTACCCCCAGCCCTGCCACAGGAAGGGAATGGGCTCAGTGCCCGCGTGGATGAGGGTGTGGAGGAATTCTTCTCCAAAAGGCTGATACACCAAGATCATCTGTGAGTGAGGGGCCACTGGAGGGGGGGTGGGAAGGAGTGAGACCTTGTGGACCTTCCAACTCACTCCAGGCTGTGCCTACAGCTGGACCCCAGAGGAGGATCCAGCCACCGAGGGGGGTACCACCCCTGTCCCCCGCACACTGCGAAAGAAGCTGGGCACCCTCTTTGCCTTCAAGAAGCCTCGTTCAGCACGAGGGCCACGGCCTGACCTAGAGACCAGCCCTGGGGCAGCTCCCCGCAGCCGGAAAGCCACACTTGGGGACCTGCTGAGGCCCCCAGCGCGGCCAGGCCGTGGTGAGGAGCCTGGTGGGGCTGAGGGGGGCACTAGCAGCCCTGACCCTGCTCACAGGAACAGGCCACGCTACACACGAGATAGCAAGGCCTACTCAATGATACTGTTGCCTGCCGAGGAGGAGGAGGAAGCAGCGTTGGGTGTCAGACCTGACAAGGTACGGCCTGCTGATAAGCATTAAAGGCTCTTCTGGAAATGGGCCCCTTCCCCTACTCGGGCATCTCTGTCCCCAGAGGCGGCCCCTGGAGCGGGGAGACACAGAGCTGGCCCCATCCTTTGAACAGCGGGTACAAGTGATGCTGCAGAGGATTGGCGTGAGCCGAGGCAGTGGGGGTGCTGAAGGCAAGAGGAAGCAAGTGAGTTGGGGGAAGCATGACTGCGAAGTGAGGGCCAGGTGGCATGGCTTGTGGCAGCCTGTGGATATATGTGACCAGGAGCGGAAACTCATGTGGCACAGAAAACAGGTTTCATTGTCATTTCTACCTCCTAACCCCCTCAAAACAGTAATCAGGTCCTACCTTTCTACCCTCTTGGCCTGTGCCCTGGCCAGACGTTTCCTTCTTGTCATTTCACTGTAGACCAAAACATAGGACCCTGTCATCTACAAGTGAAACATCAATTTTGCCAGGGCTTCCTCTCAAGAGACTGTCCAGACTCCTAACTCTGCTTCAAGACCCCAGGGGGTCTCAGCCAGGGTCCATTTAACCTTTACTGCTCTCCACCCTGGGTTGTACCTCAGAGTCTCTACTGCGTGCCCCCTTCTCACTCATCCCTGTGGCTTCTCTGCAGATCTTCCCCAACTCTCTTCTGTTGTCACCCCACTAAATGCCCTCTGTGATCACAGTCCCTGATAAGGACCATAGCCCTGGGTACTATTCATTTAAATACAGCTTTCCAGGAAAACAAACACCTAAGAGATTCAGCCTGAATTTAGAAATATTAAAGCATAGAAAGTACACCACAGAACTTAGAAACTATTTTGTGTGAGTCAACAAATGTGCATGTTTTCTACGTGTGTTAACTGTCCACCACCTCACACTGTGAACTCTTAAGGGAATTAGGACTGGGTCTGCCATGTTTTTGCCTTGTCCGTGGTGGACAGTCTGTGGCTGGGTTTTAAGAACAAGAATGAACCAAAGGACAGGGCCAGGGTGAGGGTGGATCAGGCTGGAGCTTGACTGCCCCTTTTCCTATAGAGCAAAGATGGAGAGATCAAGAAGGCTGGCTCGGATGGTAAGTGGGACCCTGGGGTAGGGCAGTGCGTTTAAGGGGAGGTTATGTCCCTAGGGATAGTCCCTGAGGCACTTGCTCTTCTTGGGGAGAGGCCAGGTTTTCCTTTCAGTTCCAAGGTCTGGTGCCTAAGTCCCCAGCCCCAACTCATAGGTGACATTATGGACAGCTCCACGGAGACCCCTCCCATCTCGATCAAGTCTCGGACCCACTCTGTGTCTGCTGGTGAGTGTGGATGAATGTGTATGATGGAGAGGTGCAGGGGCAGGTACGAGGGGGTTAGACCACTGGTCAAGCCCACCTCCAACACCTGGCCACAGCCTTGGTGACAACCCCTCTCCCTACAGACCCCTCATGCAGACATAGCCCAGGAAGCCAGGGGCCTGAGCCTGCCGTCTGGAAGACTCTGGGGCAGCAATTGAATGCAGAGCTGCGGGGTCGTGGTTGGGGCCAACAGGATGGTCCAGGGCCCCCCTCCCCATGTCCTACCCCAAGCCCCCGAAGAGCCAGCCCCTCCCCAGACAGCCTGGGCCTCCCAGAGGACCCTTGCTTGGGCCCCAGAAATGAAGGTAGGCAGGTACCTCCCCCTTCAGTCCAGGGCTGGGAAGGGGGCTAGAGGAGTTCCTGATGGAAACTCCACTCCTTTGGAGGCCCTGAAGGTGGGAGGAAAAGGTTAGAGTGGGGGAGCTTCTGGGGCCATACCCTGACACCCTGGCCTCCCCTAGATGGCCAGCTCAGGCCGCGGCCTCTGTCGGCAGGGCGACGAGCAGTGTCTGTGCATGAGGACCAGCTCCAGGCCCCTGCTGGTGAGGGGAGATGCCCCATGTGTGCTGGCATCAAGGATGGAGATGGTGGGGGTGGGGAGGGACTGGGAATGTGAGGGGTCAAGAAAGCAGGGAGCCAGAACACCAGGTGCAAGGGGGCTGACAGGAACGCCTTCCTCTTGCCCCTGGTCCCACCTGCAAAGCAAACCTCTGGCAGGAGTGGGAGGGCACAGGAGACAGGGAGGCCTCTAAAGGCAACTCTGCTTGTGGGGTGTGTGTGTATGGGGGGTGGATGTATATGCACACAGAGCCACACACACAGGAAATAGGGGAGGGGGTAGGGGCTGGGCAGGTGAGCCCTTAGCAACCCACCCCACGCCTGTCTGTGCTTCCCAGAGCTGCCCCTGAGGCTGCAGCGCTCCCCCGTCCTCAAGCGCAGGCCGAAACTCGAGGCACCCCCATCCCCAAGCCTAGGTAAGTGAGGGTGAGGGCCAGTTGTGGTGGGGATTGGGAGGTCTGCTTAGCCCAGCCTTGACTCTTCCTCTCTCCCTCTATCCTTGCAGGACCCGGGCCTGGAGCCGAGCCTCTGCCCCCACAGCCCACGGAGCCCTCCAGCCCTGAGCAGAGCCTACCCTCCCCAGCCACAGACCAAAGAGGCGGCGGTCCCAACCCCTGATCCTCTCCCTTCCTGCCGCATGAGATTATTTTATTAAAAAACTCAAACAAAGTAGACTGCAGAGCACTGTTTATCCACCCACCAGCATGATCCCGTGTGTACACACACTCCCATGGGCCTCACAGCTGCATCAGTTCAGGCTCTGGCGGTGGCTCTGTCAGGAAATGCAAGGCCCAGGCCACAAGCTCGGGAGGGAGCCTGGGGAGAGAACCATGGCTGCAGATCAAGGAAGCCGGGAGCCAGTGACCAAGGGAGTGGGGCAGCCCTGGGCACTCACCTGGCAGCTTGGACCCTGGCACAGAGGGAAGCAGGGGGTGGTGCGTACGCATACTGGAAGGCAGAACCATCGCGATGCCTATTTGGGGGATCCTGAAGAGGGTATGGTGTCTGAGGAGGAGCCCACAAGGACTGCTAACCCCATCTAATGCTACCCTAGCTCCCCTTCCAGATCTACCCGAAGTCCACCCCATCCCACCCTCCACTTACAGGACTCTACTCACCCAGACAGGGCTGGGATCCAGGGATTCCGTGGTAGCACTGGCCCTTGGAGGGGGCCGTTGATTCTGGGGTGGCTCCTTGAACTCCAGACAAGGTTTCCGAGCCCTGATCACATGGGCCTGGTGTGGTCTGGGGACATGGCCAAGGGGCAAGAGACTAGGTGTGCTGCTCAGGGGCGGAGAGCTGGGTTCACAGCTGGGGTGTAGACAGCGGAGGTGTGCAGAGCAGGAGGGGAAGGGGTCAGGGGTTGAGCAGATGGCCGCTAAGGACTGGGAACTGTCCCTCTGCGCTGGCTCTGGAGCAGCCAAGGACAGGGCAGGCAGAAGGCTGACGCTGGCACTGCTTTCCTCTGACTGTGTGTGGCCAGGGAGTCCCTGAGGAGTTCCTGAAGAGAAGGGAGCTCACTGTGGACAGCCCTCCCAGCTCTGATGAGCTGAGTGACCTGTGACCTTGGGCAAGTCTACAGAGACTGTGTTCATCCCCCACCTGGCTGGGTACCCTTTCACAGCATCTTGTACAGCCCAGGACCCTGAGGGATAGCAGTGAGTGCTTGTGCCCGGAGCACCACCTCACCTGAGGAACTGGGTGAGGAAGAAAGGGAGGAAGTCAGGGTCAGAGAGAGGTCCTGCAGAGCCGGGTCTCGTGGGGGCAGCTCAGGGTCTGAGGGTTTAGGGGAGGCTTTATCAACACACTGTGACCCAGGTACTCCCCCTTGACCTCTCCAGCCCCTTTACCCTGTGCCCTCTGACCTGGGCCCAGAGAACTCAAGATCTGCTGATCATTTTCAGAGATGTGCAGCCATAGGCTAGATACAGTGTACACAGCTTCTCCCTGTGAAACACCAACTCTTAGCCTGACTGTTGCCAACTCCTCACACAGACATTTCCTAAGGGAAGCCCCAGACTGACCGTGGCCCTGCAGCGGGAGGCGGCCCAGTGAGTGAGTGGAGGTGCTGTTCGAGGGCCTGCCAGCATCAGACAGCTCTCAGCCAGGCACACTAGTGCCCCCCGATGCTCCTGGTCTTCCTGTACCTCATCTAGAAGCTGGGACAATGTCAGACCTGGGGGCAGGGGACCAAGAGCTGGGCTAAAGCTCACAGAAAAGAGAGAAAAGAATCGATGGGGAACAGGGCTTTTTGAGGAAGCAGGCAGTGGTGGCTGCAAGGTCACAAGTTAGGGTCACTGGCACCCCTACCAGTACCTGGGTTGGGGGAGGTGGACTCTGACAGGTACTCCCTATAGGAACAAAGGAGACAGGCCTGAGAAGCAATCCCGAGGCTTGTCTTACTCAGATGTGCCGTTCCCTGACCAGCCACACCTGGCCCCAGAGCCCAGCCCCACACTCACTCTAGACAGTCACAGAGCTTTTTCTGCACATCTGGGTCCTGGTTGCTGGGGTAAAGAGAAGGGTGATAGCCAACAGTCAATGTTACTGGGAGCTCAAGTCGTCTCACCCAAAACCCACCCAAAAAGCCCATGCCAACGCTGACCAGGCCCTGAAGGGCTAGTGGAGGGCGAGGGCATCACTTACCAACCAGCCACTCGTACCCGGGGCTGCTCCGTGGGTAGCAGGCTGAAGCTGTCCACCTGGAGGTAGAACTCCGCGGGCTGGAGGAGTGAGTTCAGAGTCGACTCTCAGGTGTTGTCAGAAGGAGCAAAACCCAGTAACCCGCCCCAGCTGGGCTCATCACTCACTCCGCCGCGCTCGGTGACCTGGACGCGGACCTCACAGTCTTGCAGCAGCAGCAGCCGACCCTCAGTCCCGCGGAAACCGAACTCCTTCTCCCTGTGGCGAGCGCGACCCTCACTGCCTAGCCCAGTTCAAGACAAATCCTCCCACCTCAGGCTCAAGCCTCGCGCCCTCCCAGTTGCCCCGTGGCGCTTCTCTCACCAGTCGGAGGTGTTCAGGGCCTTTAGTGTCAACAGGCATCGGATACTGTGGGTCCCGTCGGACACAAGCAGCGAAGCCCCAACATAAGACGCGTCAGGGGCGCGCGATGGACCCGGGGCCTCTGCCTCCTCTAACACCTGGCAACGGCGACCGGCGTCAATCTTACCGCACAGGCCCCCGCCCTGGTCTCCGGGCCTGGGCGAGGAGGAAGGGCTCACCTCAAGCAGTTGTCCCGCCCGCGGACTAGAGAGTGCCTCTGACCCCAGTACCAGCTCTCGAATCCAGGGCCGCAGAACCAGGGTCCCCAAGCCCGCCATATCTGCAGCTGCAGCTAGCGGAACACAGATCCGGGTTTCCCGCGAGCGCTACGTCCCCGCCCCCGTCGGAAAAGGAAGTGCATAAGATTGGGCGGGACCGGGCTGAGGCCCCGCCCACGAGCGTACCTGCGCGTGCGCACAAGCCCGTGCTGGGCGGGAGCTTCTTTTCTGGGTATTGTGTCGGTTTGGTCTACTGGGTCCAATTCCTCTTACTGGAGTGTTTTTCCTAATAGCCCAATTGGGCCGCTTGTGAATACTCAGGTGGCACACGGCAGGAAGGATTTTCAAGGGTGGGCTCGGAGGCTGCGGCTATGAATGGTCCAAGCGAATTGGCTCGAAGCCACTTGGATTCTGTGTGATCCCATGGAGTTTTAGCAAATATTTATACGGATTCATTTTTCATGTTCTAGTGGAAATAACAATACACAGAGCTTAATAAATAGCACTTCTCGCCTCCTCCCCTCGAATTGGTAGAGCCCCTCCTCCCCCAGACTCCGGGGACACGCGAACCGTAGCGTAATGACGTAAAAGCAGAAGGCTCTCTCCCTCCACCCAACTCCGTTTCCTAGGAAACGTGGACTCCGCGTTCCACTCCTTCGCTGCCCCGTGACGTCATGGTGTGGCCAGGAGGGCGGGGGAAGCGCTATCGCCAGGGGCGGGGCGCCGAGAGCCTGCCGGCTCGGCTGTGCACCTGCGCCTCGGCGGGCCGCCTGAGGCACATCCCAGGCCCGCCCGGCCCTGCCATGGCCAGGCCGCAGAGGACCCCAGCGCGCAGTCCCGACAGCATCGTCGAAGTGAAGAGCAAAGTAAGGGCCCCTCGGCCCCGGCTCCGGCCCTGGCCCTAGCCGCTTCCAATTCCCTCATCCCCCGTTCCTGTCTCCTCGGTCCCCATCACTTCTTTCTCTCTTCCAACTCCCACGCCCCATTCTCTGGCATTTCTGCTCACCTTCCCTCATTCATCCTCCCTCCTTCCACGGCCAGCCTCCAAATCTGTCTGTGGCCTGGGTACCTGGAGGGCGGGGAAAAGACCTTGGACAGCATCCGCATACGCTGAGGTCTGGGCTCCAGGCTGCAGCTGTTTCGGCTGCCTTATCTTTCCCACACCTTTTGACCTGAGGTGAGAAAGTGGCGCAGGCTCTGGCCTGACCACTCCTTTCCCCCCACCTCCGGCCTCCAGTTTGACGCCGAGTTCCGACGCTTCGCGCTGCCCCGTGCTTCCGTGAGAGGCTTCCAGGAGTTTTCGCGGTTGCTGCGTGCGGTGCATCAAATCCCGGGGCTGGACGTGCTGCTTGGCTATACAGATGCTCACGGCGACCTGCTGCCCCTCACCAACGACGACAGCCTACACCGGGCCTTGTCCAGCGGGCCCCCACCGCTACGCCTGCTGGTGCAGAAGCGGGGTGAGGGAAATAAGGGATGGGAGTGGGAAGCAGCCTCTGTGGGGAAGGGTAACAGAGCAGGTCTCCTCTTGTCTATAAACTAGTCCATGCCCAGGGCGTCTCGGCCTCACCCTCTGCAGTCCCTGCCCTTGGCCTGACCTCCAAATGGTAGAAATAATTACAGCGCCCCCTTCCCCAAGCCTGGCTGGGCCTGGTGAAAAAGGGCCCTGGGGCCCTGGAGGGCACAAGTAGACAATCAGGGTCTCTGATCTCGGCGTCCCATCTCCTACAGCAGAGGCTGACTCCAGTGGCCTGGCCTTTGCCTCGAACTCCCTGCAGCGTCGAAAGAAAGGGCTCCTGCTGAGGCCAGTGGCGCCCCTGCGCACGCGGCCACCCCTGCTCATCAGTCTGCCCCAAGATTTCCGCCAGGTTTCCTCTGTCATAGATGTGGATGTACTGCCTGAGACACACCGCCGGGTGCGGCTGCACAAGCATGGTTCAGACCGTCCTCTGGGCTTCTACATAAGAGATGGCATGAGTATGCGTGTAGCTCCCCAGGGCCTAGAGCAGGTTCCAGGCATCTTTATCTCACGCCTGGTACGTGGGGGCTTGGCTGAGCGTACAGGGCTGCTGGCAGTCAGTGATGAGATCCTTGAGGTCAACGGCATTGAAGTGGCTGGGAAGACCTTGGATCAGGTGACGGACATGATGGTTGCCAACAGCCACAACCTCATCGTCACTGTCAAGCCTGCCAACCAACGCAATAACATAGTGCGGGGGGCATCTGGGCGTCTGGCAAGGCCCACCTCTGCCCGGCCTGGGCCTCCTGAGCCTGACAGCGACGATGACAACAATGATCTGGTCATTGAGAACCGCCAACCTCCATGTTCCAACGGGCTGTCCCAGGGGCCCCCATGCTGGAACCTGCGCCCCAGCCGTTTACCTCCCAGTGTTCGAAGTTCTCTGCCCTCCCTGGATGATCAGGAGCAGGCCAGCTCTGGCTGGGGGAGGAGCATTGGAGGAGATGGTAGTGGCTTCAGCCTCTGACAGGCAGGGACTTAGCCCCTTGCCACTCCAGGCTACAGGGGCATGGCAGAAAACTTCCCTGGTGGGGATTTTTAGCTTGCTTACAGAGACTCCTCAGCCTGGGGAACATTAAAGGTTTTCTACAAGTGCAGTCATGCTCCTTCTGTGTCACAGGCCCATCTCCTCCCTCCTCCCACAGCTTGCCTTTTGCCCTGAACATGAAGCAGGAGTGATGAAGGTAGCAGGGAAACGTTCCTACAGTCAAGTGCCAGGAAGACCACCAGGCTTGGCATTTCTAGTGCAAGAAAAGCTCTTACAGAAGCAGATTGAGCTGTGTACAAAATGTTTAATTTTGACTAAGGGTGAAGCAGCTGGGCTGGCCCTTCCACAGCTAGTGGTGCCTGGTAAGAGTGCTCTAAGAAGGTACTGTCCACCCTACTGCGCCTGCCTTCAGACCTCCACTCTATGAGGGGGCCTGAGCCCACTCTTTGCCGCTGTGTGGAGATCCTCAGTGTGGGCCCCTTCCACTACTCCCACAAAGGGATTTAGGTGTTCATCTTCACAAAGACTTTGGGGCGGGAAAAGATCTTGATGGCCTCCTCCACTTGCACCAGCTTCCGGTCCAGCTCCGCACGGTGGCCCTGAGCCCTCAGTGAGTCTGCCCCAGCAGGCAGCAGCACCAGCTCACGAAGCAGCTGGCTCTGGCCTACAGGGGCCACAGAAGCAGTGAGGGCTGGAGAGGGGTGCATGGTCCCCAGTGGGTCCCTCTCTAGCCCCCTTACCCAGGTACTTACTCTGGAGCAGAGAGCTCAGTGTCTCCAGCCGCTGGTTCTCAGGCATGCGAGTGTGGCCAGGGGGCATGGCAGGATCCGGCTGGCTGTGCTGGCGGGCCTCAGCCTCCCGCCGCCATAGATCCCTGCGCTCCAGCAAGCTGCAGATGCACAGACTCAAGGCTGATGACCCCAGGGCAGAGGTTGGCTCCCGCCCCTCATGTGGTGCCCCTCACCCTGGGCATTGGGCTCCGAGACCTACTAATGAGGCACGTGGCCCTTCTGTGTGGTGTTGTAGTGCTCCTGGGCTTGGCGCTGCTGCTCCAGCACTTGTGCCAGGACCTGCAGTGAGCGGGAATGCCGCCGGGGGGCCCTCTTGGCAGTGCGAGCATTGTGGGTAATGAAGTCCACACCCTGGTCTGGACCCTGTGGGCCATGGCAAGCATGGTGGGGCAGAGGGCAGTGTTGTGGTTCTGCACCCCCAGAACTCCCCATCCTTCTCCAGCTCCCATGCATACTCTCACCTTAGCTTTGGGATCTGGTGTAGATAGCTGGGGACTGGGGACACGAGGTGGTGGAAGCCCAGGGCCACAGCGGGAGTGCGCCTTCAGGAAGCGGGCAGGCTCTGTCCCAGAAGCCGGGCCAGGCTCCTGAAGGGCAGGACACAGCACAGAGATTGGTCAGGCTGAGGTGAGGGTCTCAAGCCACAAGACCATGCCTCTGTCCCTTCTGTCTCTCAGGACCTCTCCCCATCCCTCTGGGCCTCTTCTCTCTTGAAGGAACACTCTTGATCAGGATTTAGACGTGTGTATCTCACATCTTTAAGAAAACAACACACTACCCCTTCTTCTACCTTAGTCCTGGCTCCACCTACTCCTCTCTCTTCCTTTCCTAGCCAAGCTTCCTGGCTCTGGCCCCTTAAGGTCATTGACAGCTGGCCTCCAAGCCCTCAAATCCAGGAGTCACTTTTCTCATCCCATCATGCTCAATTTGATCCTCAGTAACTTCTGAGTTTCATTCCTGAGACCCAGACCTGAATATCCATATGCTTCCTGGACACACTACCACCCCGGGCAGCCCCACAAATGTTTCGGCCTCAGCATATTCATTCATTCACATGTGACCGTGTTGTTTTCTTGACTCAGCTTCTTCTCTTGAGGTCCCTGGATATGACCTTGGGAGTCTACCCAAGACAGACTCCATCTCCACCATGCCCTTCCCACTGCCTTCAAAAATAAAAGTTGACAGCAGCTTGTGTGGCTCTTTATGATTTGTTAGCCCAACCTGTGGTCTTCCCCCCCCCCAACAGTGAATTACACCCAGCATCCCCACTGCCCACACTCCCTCTGGCCTTTGCAAGGTTCCATCTCTATGGCATGTTCTCATTTACTCTCCCCTGGCCTAATTCTTACTTGTCCCTAAGGATCAACCATGACCATTTCTGAGAAGGCCCCCCAAGCCCCACCGTGCAGCAGGCCAGGTGTCTCTTAGTCCTCTGTTACCTAACTCCCCTGTGGTTTTTGATCCCTTCCCGTAACCCAGATCAGTGTATAATGGCTGTTGATCAACAACACGAGCAGCACTTCTCACTCCCCATGGCAGGTACCTGCAGTTGGGCCTTGACCCGGGACTCCACCTTGTCATACTTAGGGGAACGCCACAGCGCCTTCAAGGGCCTTGGCTGGCCTTGCTCCCGCCTGTACTCCTGCTCCCTGAAGCGCCTCTGTATCTCTTTGATACGTCTCAGGTTCTCCTTCTCATGGTCTTTAGGGTCCTTCCCTGAGTAAGAGATGCAGCCAGACCCTGTCCTATGTACAGCCTATTCAATCCAACTCACACCAGTTCAGGCACAGGCCCACAACCTGCCGCCTACAGAAAAATCTCCTGACCTCTCCACCTAAGTTAGATCCTACACACACACTCCCCCTCATCAGCTTGTTTCCTTCTCCACATAGCAATCGTCAGCTACGCCTGATGACAGTTTATATTTTCATTGTGAAGGATACCATTAATCATCTTGTATATTATATTAAACTCTTCACTTGTTTGTTATCTCCCATCTTGACTCATGGATGACCCATGCTTCTCTTCAACCCTGCTTCCCTAGCATCTATGAGGCCTGGCACACGCTAACTAAGAACTTAATAAACAACGCTGCTTGGATGCATGAATGCATGAAGCTGAGGCTGCCCAGGAACCTTCACGTCATTCAGTTTTTTCCTGAGAGGAGGTAGTGCATTGTTCTTCTTTTATAGTTGGGGAAACTAAGCCTCAGAAGGGCAAAAGCCTGGGTGAGGGTCGGGAAAGGAAAAGCCTCGGCGTTTCGTTTCTGTTTTTGACCTCCATTGGCCTCACTGCCCCTTCTTCCCGGGACTTACTCTTCGGAGAGGCCCTTGGGGTTAGGGAAATTCCCCCGAGTTGCAGCAGCACGGCCCCCACGCCGCGCCGGCCACGTTCCAGGATCTCCCGCGCTCCGGGACCGATGCGGGGGCCGCTGGGAGGAGCGGCGTCAAGGTCCGGGTCCGAGATAAGCAGGTCTAGTTTCCGCGCGTTTCCTTCAAGGCGCCCTTGGGCTGACGGGTGGGGCGAGAGGCGGAGCAGAGGGCTCAGTGTGGAGCCGGGACCGCCCCCAGGTCCCGCTCCGCCATGGCCCGTCCCCACTCACCCGAGGCCGGGCGCCGGTAGTAGTCCGGGCAGAGCGTAGGGTCCGGGGGTATGGGTCCAGAGATGCGGGACGGACCTTCGCACATGTCGCCGCCCTGCAGAGGTGCACCGAGGCGTGCCCGGGCCGAGACCCTTTTCTCCAGCCCCGCGCTTCCCCCCCTCCACCTGGAACCTAATCCTGACCCCAGCCCTCCATTCCCCGCCCTCCCAATACCCCGGCCTGCGCCCGCTGCTTCCCCAGCCTCTGCTCCTAGCCCACTCGCCCGCTCTATTCACTACCCGTTCCTCGCAACAGCAGAACAGGGGTCTCACCGGAGCTGTTCTGCCGCCTGCTGCGGCGACCCGACGGGAGTTGCTGTTGCCAGGCAACAATAGCTTCCGTCTCTGAGGTTAGGGGTTAGTGTCGCTGGTGCAAAGCCTTCTGGGGCTTGTAGTTCCAGCTAAAGTGGGGCAGAGGGACCTCCAACTTACCCAACTCTTCTCTCGCCTCCCTGCGCGTCTCGGGGGTCGGTTTGGGGTCCATCACAGCGGCCCCCAAAGTCCGCCCCCCCAGCCGCGGTGGAGGAATGAATCGCTGATCCCGCGCAGCCATGGCCTCAGTAGGGGCCGAGAGGCGGCCTGGGACCCAAGAGGATACGGCCGTGGGGCTGGCAGTGCCCGTGGAGGCGTCTGGTGGCCGCGTTCAGAGCTCTGAGGTGACAGTAGGGCCTTCTGACGCAGCTGGCTGTGGCGCTGGGGGGACAGAACTCTTCACGATCCTGACCCTCTAACTGGCAGGGCAGGCTCCAAGGGCGAGAATGCACACTGGCTGTTGCCTCTTATCCAGTGTTTATGTCTAACGTTGGGCTCCAAAGTTTGATCCCTGTATCCTCTGGGCTTAGTGACCAATAACCTATGTGTTACCTGTAGTGTCCAGTGACACGAGACCAGTGTCTGGTGCCAGCACATGAAGCCTGCCAGACCCAGAGTGAAGACAAGTGTCCAAGAGGACCAGCCTCAGAGCCAGAGCTCCAGGAGGAGAGACTCAAAGCAGAGGTGGAGGCCCTAGAGGAGAGAGGCCCCAGGCCCTTAGTGTCCACTGTGAGGCCCAGTCACAGTCTGAAGAGGAAGCCTGTCAAGTGAGGGGGCGTTCAGAGGGAAGGAGCTGCAGGGATGGGGAGTGGGGCTCACATCCCTTGTCCCTTGGCATCATCATCATCATGTCTTCTGTCCCTCAAGAGGCTTGGTTAGAGACCAAGAGAGAGGAGGCCTGAAGGTCTTGGAGGGGGATGAACTCATGAGCTCTGGGCCCTTGCTGGCCTGAGACCTCACTGACCAGGATAGGGTGAGGTATCTGGTCCTGGGTGGTAGGTAGGCAGGGCTATCGCCGAGGCTCTGGGCACAGGTAGGCTTCTCGCGCCTCCTGTCCATAGCTCTGGTCCCCCAGCCTCCCAGGGGCTAGTCACCATGCCCATCCTAGGGCCAAAGCTGAGCTGCCACTGGGGCTGCTGCTGCAGAAAGAGGAGCCGGAGGGGAGCCAGAGTGAGCCACCACCATCTGCCAAACAGCACAAAAAAACCAAGAAGCGCAAAAGTCCAGGGGCCCAAGCACTCCCAGCTGTAGTCAACACAGTGTCTGCCCCCTCAGAGGCCTTGGGGCTGGAGCGTGAGTGGCAGCCCTAGGCTTCCCTATCTCCTCTGCTCACTGGTCCCCCTGACATGGCACAAGCTGGTGCTCTAGCCCTGCCCTATTCTGGATCCTTGCAGGAAAGGCCCAGCGCCTGCGGCCTCTGTACCAGTACATCAACTATTGCAACCCTGAGCTGAACCAGGCAGGAGAAGGGGACAGGGAGGCCAAGGCCGAGCACGAGTTGGACCTGGCCCTGATCCCCAAGGAGGCAGGTGTGGAGCAACTGCAGGCCCTGCTGCCTGTGGCAGGTGAGCTGGGCTCAGGCTTGGCTTTGCCCTGCCGTAAAATGTTAGTGCCCCCAACCCATGTTCTGGCTCCCCTGGCAGAGGAGGCTGGAGAAGAGCCTGGGGGTCTGCCCAACTTGGGGGTCAGTGGCTGGCCCAAGGCTGAGGTGGATAAGTCAACCCAGGTGGACATCGACAAGATGCTGAGTGTCTGTGCTGCCCCCCTTGTGCCCCCGCTCTCTCCTCAGTACAGGTGACTGTGCTGCCCTGCCCCCCTAGTGGCTCCCCTCTCCCCAAGCCTGAATCAGAACAGCAGCCTTCAGGCCTAGGGAGGAATTTGGTCCATGCTACCATTTGCTGGGACCTTGGGCTTGCTGACAATAAACATTTTTTCCTTTTCTCAGACTGTGACATTCCCCAGTGTCAGTGTGTGGTATAAAGCCTGACTAGTTATTTGGATTATTCAAGAACTTGACAAAAAAATACAGATTCTGGGGCAACACCCCAGACCTCATTGAATCAGAATCTAAGGATGGGGCCTGGATTCTGTATAGTTAAATGCTCCCCAAATCTATCTGTCTAAAAGTGGGGGACAAAGAGGGAGGTGACTGAGGAACTTGGTACAGAGAAAGGGTTTGTCAGCCCACTGGAAGTAACAATTTGGTCTTGCTCCCATCTCCCAGGGAAGTGGCCTGCATTAGGGGACCAGCACTTAGAACTCCCCCCTCTGAGATGGCAGAGTTCACTTAACTGTCCCAAGAATAGCTGACTTTGGAACACTTGCCACCTTTTTGCCAGACCACAACTGGGCCAGAACATGCCCACGGAGTGGCCCGTGACAGAGGTGTCCGTACCTTGTTCCTCGTAGGAAGTGGTGTAGACAAGGAGGGGGGTCTCGATGTGACTTTCTGGAGAAGTTGCTTGGGCTTCAATGTGAAGAGCAGAATGGGGAGGAAGAGACTGGGGACAGGGAGGTGAGGAGACTTCCATTGCCAAGACTGGGAACTGGCTAGTAAGCAACAGGGATTTGGGAAGCTCTTGCCTGGTTGCTGCATCAGAGAGAATACTCTTAAGAGGTTTAATGCATTTTCACTGGCCTGGACAAACCTTGTTTACTTTGATCAGAGGAAGAGTTGTTGGACATCCTAAATCAAATCCGACTCCCTCGTTGGGTTTCTGAGGTGCTATCACTGCAGAATTAGATTGCCTAATCTTTTTTCTGGGAGCTCTGGTAGCATAGTGGCTAAGACACTTGCCTGCTAACCAGATGGCTGGCGGTTCAA